CGAAGTGCTCCGCGTCGGACGACGCCGGATTGCTATGCCGCTAGGACGCGTCGCGCGGGCCGGGTAGGCTTTTGGGCTCTCGCCTACCCCGCCCGCCGCGTCGTTTTCCTGCCAGCATGTCGCCCGAAGCCCCGTCCGCTCCGCCTGCTTCGGACCCCGTCGCTCCGGCGTCGGTGGACTTGTCCGTCACGCTCGGTCGCCTACGGCTGCCGAACCCCGTGCTGGTCGCCTCGGGGACGTTCGGCTACGCCCGGGAACTGGCGTCGCTCGTGGACGTCTCACGGCTCGGCGGCATCCTGCCGAAGACCGTCACCGCCACGCCGCGGCAAGGGAACGCCCCGTGGCGCACCGTCGAGACGACCGGCGGGATGCTCAACGCCATCGGCCTCGATAACGACGGCGTTGACGCGTTCATCGAGTGCCACCTGCCTTATCTGGCATCGGTTGGCACGCCGATCATCGTCAGCGTGGCCGGCAAGGCGCGCGACGAGTTCGTCGAACTGGTCCGCAAATTCGACGCTGTCGATAGCGCGCTACGGCCCGCGGCGATCGAGCTGAACGTCTCGTGCCCGAACGTGTCGGGGGGCGTCGACTTCGGCAGCGACCCGGCCCTCTGCGAGGCCGTGGTGCGCGAGTGCGTCGCCGCGACCGACCTGCCGATCATCGCGAAGCTGACGCCCAACGTGACGAGCATCGCCACGATGGCCCGCGCCGCCGAGGCGGGCGGCGCCGACGCCCTGAGCCTGATCAACACAGTGCTCGGCATGGCGGTCGATTGGCGCAAACGCAAGCCGCTGCTCGCCAACACGGTCGGCGGCCTCAGCGGCCCGGCGATCAAGCCGATCGCCCTCCGCTGCGTCTGGCAAGCCAGCCAAGCGGTCCAAACCCCAATCATCGGCGTCGGCGGCGTCGCCAGCATCAACGACGTGATGGAGTTCCTCGTCACCGGCGCGTCGGCCGTGCAGCTCGGCACCGTGAACTTCTACCGCCCCCAAGCGTCGATAGAAGTGCTAGAGGCGCTACCGGCGGCGCTAGGAGAGTTAGGCGCGACGAGCGTTAGCGAAGTCGTTGGAACTTTATGTCTTAAGATTTAGGAGATGTGGGGATGGCAACTTGGTAAGGACGCCGCGGAGTTACTTCAAGCCGCCGGTTGCTGGCAGTCTGGCTTCTGAGGAGATAATGGAGATGGTCGAATGGCAAGGCGCAATGACATCGATCAGTGGGTTGTTCTGAATTGAATAACTAATTCTTAGTTCACTCTACTTGGTCATCCCGCGTTGCCCCTCAAAGGCTCCATCCCCGATATCTCCTCAGTAGTCGCTCCCCACCAATCGCCGGCCCGCATCGCCCACGCGCCCACTGCACCGAAAGACCATCCCCATATCTCCTTCTTCGTAAAACCATCCCCCTAAAGACAGCGGCAAGATGAGAGCTCTCTCCGGCATTCAACCCACCGGCCCGTTTCACTGGGGCAATTACTTCGGCGCCATCCAGCAGTACATCCAACTGCAGGACGAGTGCGACGACGGGTCGTATTACTTCATCGCCAACCTCCACGCGCTCACGACTGTGCGCGACCACGAGAAGCTGCGCGAGTACACGCTGAATGGGGCGATGGACTTGCTGGCGCTGGGGCTCGATCCGGCGAAGGCGGTGATGTTTGTGCAGTCGGACGTGCCGGAGGTGTCGGAGCTTTGTTGGCTGCTGCTGACCGGCACGCCAATGGGCCTGCTGGAGCGTTGCGTCAGTTACAAGGACAAGCTCGCCAAAGGCCTGAAGGCCGACGCGGGGCTCTTTACGTACCCGGTGCTGCAAGCGGCCGACATCCTCGCTTACGACGCGACGGTCGTGCCGGTGGGCGAGGATCAATTGCAGCACATCGAGGTCTGCCGCGACATCGCGCAGAGCTTTAATCATCACTTCGGCGAGACGTTTGTTCTGCCAAAAGGAAAAGTGCTCGATCAGTCGGCGCGCGTGCCGGGGACCGACGGCGAGAAGATGTCAAAGAGTTACGGCAACACGCTGGCCGTGTTCGACGACGTAAAGGCGCAGCGCAAGCAGATCATGCGCATCCAGACCGACAGCCGGCCGATGGAAGACCCGAAGGACCCCGCGGGGGACGTGCTGTTCGATCTCTTGAAGCTGGTGGCGAACGCCGAGGAGCTCGCCCACTGGGAAGGCGTTTATCGCAAAGGCGGGTTCGGTTACGGCGACGTAAAGAAGGCGCTCGCCGACGCGTCNNTGGGGCCCGGCGCGGGAACGCCGCGCCGAGTGGGCGTCGAAGCCTGGCGAGGTGCGTGAGATCCTCGCCGCGGGCGCCGCGAAGGCCCGCGAGCGCGCGGCCGCGACACTGAAGCGGGCGCAGGAGGCGTGTGGGGTGAAGGGGTGGTAGAATCCTCGGCAGCGAAGCTGACGAATATGTCCCCCTCCCTCTTTAGGGAGGGCCTAGGGGAGGGTTAAGAGCATGCCACACCACCACCGCATCCCCCCAAAAACAACCACCAACGCACGCACCCTCCGCCGCAACGCCACGCATCCCGAACGGGTCCTCTGGTACGCCCTCCGCAACCGCCAAGTCGTAGGTCACAAGTTCCGCCGCCAGTATCCGATTGACTCCTTCATCGTCGATTTCTGTTGTGTCGAGGCGGGCTTGGTCGTTGAAGTCGATGGCCGCAGCCATGAGGGGCGGCAGGCTGCAGACGCGGCCCGACAGGCGGTGATCGAGGCGGCGGGGTT